ATGACATATCACTGGAAAGCCCAGGATGTCCTCTGTAGAGTGCAGCAGAGATTGATAGAGTAGCTCAAAAGAGTAAAAGGAGATGCATGTGAACAAAATGTCCACTACAGTAGACATTTGTCAATGGGCTGGGACTGGGTCCCAGGAGACACCCACAGGACCTTTTTCAATATTGTCCTAAATAATTTATCAGTCAGTTAAAGTCCGACCCCTACTGAACAGTTTGTGGAATTACATCTGTGCAAAGTTCCCTATGTTTTCAACCACCAGATGGCGTAATTTAATCGCCAGTCAATTCTGAAACCTTATGAAACATAAATGAAGTGAAAGACTGTTTTTGATAATTTAATACTTTAGTGATGAGTCCAGGGCTCATTGATAAACATTTGCATATTGGAATTTAAGATTGTCTACACTTGTTGTCAACAAAAATCGAGAAAAAATTGATTATATTTGTTTTAGTGAATTAATTGGCTGGGTTTAGATAAATACAAAAATATTGGAGTTTGTTTTCTCCAAAAGTATTGAATAATCAAAGCCATTATGAAAGACTGATGAACAACCATAGTTCAAGACAAAATACTAGAGGGATCCATCCCGTCATATAATGGAAAGTGATGACTTTTTAGTCCAAGTAGTAAAAAAATTTGGTTATTATAAAAAAAAATGACATCATATTTAAAGGCTCATAGAGTATTTCAAGGGCCAGCAGTTGTTAAATAGTGCTGCTGATCATTGTTTTTTCGACGGTGTGGGAGTATCTGTTGGCAGAATCTGTTTGAAATTTTAAGGCTGAGAAACCGACCTATTTTTAACACAAGTGGAAGGAACTGTAATACTACAAGGCTGCTTTGGCTGCCTTGTAATAGAGGTAGCTGTTATTCCTGTTCAAATCTATTAATGCCACATTATACGTCTTCAAATCCACCACCATCTCTTAAATAAATAGATCTTTCCTCTTCTCCTAAAACATTACTAACTCAACAAGCCAGAAAGCTGCATCTGTTCAGGCTCAGGAGTATAATATCAAACACACACTCACAGATGTTGCTTACTTCTTCTCAATGTGTTTTCAGTTAGGGCGATTACATAACCAGTCAGGTATGAGTCAGTGTTTAGAGGACATCATCTCTGCTTCTTTGGTCCTGATAACATGTCAGCGCTCACCTTCTGGGGATTCAGCTGACATCTGATAGGATAACAGGGAATTTCTACTGCCTGTTATTTCTTCCATACCCGAAATTAGTAATATTTCCTCCAAAATGAACATATTACCAGTGCTATAGTACTTTATTCAAAGATTAACAGTATACCAGTGCCCTTCCAAATCTCTCCTCTGTTATCTGTGAGCCTTTGTTTACCAAGCGCATGAGGCCATGATAGAGAGGGACTGTTGAGAGCTTTGATCAAGGTTTCTCTACAATACTCATTCTGATGGAAAATCAACAACATACCTGTGAAAGAACAAAGCTGCTCTGTGAAAGATTGTAGAGGGGGTGGACAGAGGCTTTAAAACACTGATATGAAGTTGTGGTGATATAAAGTGTTCTCAAACATTTTGCAGAGGATGAGAAGTTCATGCATGTGTGTACATTTACAACATCTGCTGTCTTTTTGCATCACTCCCTTTCATGTTGGGCTAACTCTGTTGAAATTGTTGCAGTACATTGATATGTAATACTTGCCATCGAACATCTAATCCATTCTCTGACCATCAGTTGTATTGATATCACATAAAATCACACAGCCCATGCAAAAGTGCTCAGTAGAATATCATCAACGTCATGTTCTTTTTTTCATTATAAGATAGCTGTCTAATGATATGCTTGGTTTTGTCATCTCATCGAATGCTTGAACTTCATGCATCACCAGATACTCTGCTTTAACTTATAGTAGACAGAGTATACTATAGTCAATACAGTGTGTTCTGGACATCAGCTCAAACAAAGACATGGAATAGAAACAGTTAGTTCTAGTGTATTTTTCCACATGCGGAGGAGCAGTGCTTATTAATAGTTTATGGTCTCTGAGGGCACAGTTGTGCTGTAGCCGACTTATATAAGAACACAGCTATATATTTCATATTTTCCTTTGAAATCATGCCATCTGGGGTCATTGACAGACATGACCTAAACCTTCAGTTCTGCTTTTCTCTTTGCTCACAGAGTGGAAACACTTGAGTCATTCACTACAGCTACGGTTCGCTGCCAGCAGTGCAGAGCTTTCTCTGGCGGCAGCTCCCCGCAGCACTCTGGCACAGGAAACCCAGAGAGGGATGGACTCAAATACATGACATCATCTCTCAGGCATGTGCAAACACTCTGAAAAACTGGATCTGATTAAAGGGTGCATACACACACCACCTAGAGTACCTCTGGAAACCAAAAGGCCTCTCTACAAGTTATAAAAAAACACATTTTGAACTTCAGTTTTGGCCACAATTGGCTTTAAATCTACTCTTCTGTGGAGATTTCAGTTTGTAGTTCCCCAGCAAATGATGAAGCTTGCTGACTTTGCTGATCAAAATAATTTTCCTCTTTTGCAATAGGCCTACGGTTTATGACCCCATTCCTACCAAATGACTAAATTGCCATCCGGCTCAACTGCACTTAGCGTGTGTCTTAGTGCTAGTAAAAGGTCAGATAAGGAAGGTTAGCATTTCAGCACCATCTATCTCTTTCTACATAAATATGTAAAATATACAAACAATTAAGTGGAAATTTAAGGTTCATTATTGACCTTGGAAATTCTCATTTGACATTAAAATGTTATCTTCGCACAATGTTCTCTGACTTAAAATCCTGTACAGCTTCCAGCCTGTTTTGGTGGCTTTAATCAGCAAATGCAGTTCGCCCCTTTGTCAACAACTGATCGTCTCCACGACAACGGAGGAAACTCCATCGAAACCAACAAGATGAAGGACAAAGCTAAGGACGTTTTGTAAAAGAGGAAAAGAGAAACAAATTGTAAGTAACCTAGTTTTATTTTCTCGAATAAAAGCTATGCAACTGGTTTAATATTATCTGCTGTATGAATACATTTTAAAGATTTATTAAGAAATGAATCAACACAATGGCACATAAGAGTATGTAAAAACATTTATTGTTGAGGATATCTTATATTCAGCAGTGCTTTTTTACCAGTCCTGTGGGTTTATAATAGTACATTTTCTTTATATTGAGTCAACATCTGGAGTTGAAATTCAAAGTAAAAAAAATCTCAGCAACGAGTTGTGTGGATCTAAGTGGTACACACATAAAAACCTGTGTGAGTGTGTGCACTTTGAATTTGAGATGGCATTTTACAATTAATAATATACATATTATGAATCACAGACCACTTTTAACAAGCCCAGGCAAAGAAGCAGTTTTCCACTTAAGCTGACTGTCCACCATCACAGCACAGTAATGTAAAAACAAAAAAGGTCCAAGAAGAAAATACGAACAGATATGAGCAGGTAAGAAGTACACAGATATAAAACCCAAAATAATTTTCCAAGGAATGTGAGGCTGTTAACATGAAGGAACATTTTTGGTCGACAGAAACATGATGTGATGTTCATGCCAGCATATTGTTCCTATTACACACACAGTATATACAAGTTTCAAGTAATCCTGAATTAGTCCTGTTAATCGCCTCTCAAGCAGGTGAGTGTACCTCAGGAAGTTCAGTTTGAGGCACACATAGCATGTTGTTATCGGTTACATAAGGAATGACATGCTACTGCTGAGAGCCAAGGGAAGTGTGAACGAGGGAAAGTGAAATTTAAGATCGAGGACAACTAGTTCACGAGTAGCCGCAGCCTGTGTTCGCAGACTCCTCCTCACATCTCAGTGAACTACTTGCTGAAAATTATGCTATAAATGGCCAACAACATGAAAATAAATAACAATGTAATGGCATGATGTGATCTAAACAATGGCTAGATAATTGTTGTTTCCCTTGTGTGTACTGCGAGGAAGTGACTGTCGCTGACAAAGCCAAAACCTGAACCAATAACCGTTACCATAGTGATGCTAACCAATGCATGCGTAAGTCTTTGGCATGGTTAAGCATCTGAGAAACCCAATGTTACAGCATCCTTTGTAAGAGCAGGTAGAAGTTAGCATCCTGTTCTTTTCACAGTACACCTAGTTGTATTTCATGTTAAGGACATTTAAGGAATTTGAACAGTATGAAGATAAGATCTTAAGCTATAATGAAACCGTTAAGTATTATTAAACATTAAGCATTGATACGTACAGTATTAAATTCATGTAAGGGGGTGAGCCATCAGCTGTTCTGAGGCCTAACCATTACACACACCAGCCGGATAAAGGAGATGGACCAACAACTCCAATCGACTACACCTGCACCCCCATGGTGACTTATGTTACCTCATGATACCTTATGTTATCGTACAGCTGTACAGTCGGATAAGGTTTGCAGTAGCTGTGTGTCTGACTTTGTCACGTCACTTCCTGATGCTTAAGTCTTTCTAATGACACACTTTAGTCTAATATGGGTAATATACTTGTAGCTTAGGCCTCAAACTATCATAGTAGAGGATACAGGATTCTTAATGTTATTGTTTTTCGACAAAAGGTGTAATTGTTGTCTCTGTTACTTGGTCAATTTCATGATTACTCCACAATGATTATAGCGTAGTACAAAAGGAAAGAAAAAACAATTAAAAAGTCTGGACAAATCGCATAAAGGCTCAACAAAACAAAAAAGAAGAAGAAAGGAGCAGCTGAAATGGAATGACTAAAAGCTAATCAGATTTACACCTTCAATAACAACATAACAATAATAAACATAAGTATGAACATTTAAATGGGTTAGGGCAATTCCAGTTAGTTCCCTTCTTCTCAGATGTATGTTCGGGTTGAGCATGCCTTGCCCTACTATTTGGCACAAGACTTAAGTTTCCACACAGTGAGATGAGACCAGGGCATTGGCTGAAATTATTCCACATGGTGAGATGAAACATCAGGATTGGCTGGGAGACAGCTCTGTCCCTACACGTCTGCTTCCACTCGCTTCTTGCGTACTACGGAGGAGAAGAAGAATGAAAAAGAGCGAAAAAAATAGATTTATTTCCACAAAATCAATTGATTGACAGAGTAAATACTATAGAAATCAACAGACATGCTGCACAACCTTCAACCTATACAGTCCTGTTAGTTATCATGAAAACACTCAGTGAGTCCTAATGAGCTAGGCGGTCAAAGTTTAGATCCATATCAACAGCATGTGTCAGTGTGTGCAGGAAACAGGAAGTGAGGTGTCGTCACTCTTGAAGCTGTGTGATAAGACCGTGTCAGTCTCCATACTTTGTTAATTCATTCAAACACTGCGATGCAATGACACACTTGAGTCACACCCATGCATCAGACCTGAGCTACCGCGACTCTGACAGGATGAGGAGCTAAAAGAGAGCAGAGGCCGTCACTGAGGACTGACGTCTTGTCAGAAAGAATAACATTGTAGATACAGATGCCCGGGAACTGCAGAACTGTTGACTCATTCTCCCAAAGACAGATATACCAGGTGGAAGATGACATCATGGGAAACAACTCACTCAGCTTTGCAAGTTTGAACAAATCTTAAATATGTGTGTGTGTGTGTGTGTGTGTGTGTGTGTGTGTGTGTGTGTGTGTGTGTGTGTGTGTGTGTGTGTGTGTGTGTGTACACGTGTGTGTGTACGTGTGTGTGTACGTGTGTGTGTGTGTGTGTGTGTGTGTGTGTGTGTGTGTGTGTGTGTGTGTGTGTGTGTGTGTGTGTGTGTGTGTGTGTGTGTGTGTGTGTGTGTGTGTCAGGTGAGGTCACTGCACAGAGGAAATAGCGGTGGCTAGACCTGACGTTACCCCCGGCTGTTCGCGTCTCATAACTCACCTCTGAATATTATTGTAAGTTTTCACGTTCAGCATCAATCTGTAGCCGCTGATTTCATTTCCTCACAAACTGAAAACCGGTCCAGAAAACCTCCATTTGACCTTTTTCGGTTTCCCGTCTCACTCCGTGTAATTTGGTTTTTCTCTGTTGCAGATGTTCTCTTCTCAGTCTCACACTAATACACATTCTTTTTCATCGTGCTTCCTCTATTAATCCAGAATGATTTGTTGGAGAAACTGAACATAATAACAGGAAGCTTCGTTAAAGTCTGCAATGGGTCGTCATGCCAGGAACATTAATGTTGACATAATTTGAAAAGGATGGAAACTAAGTGGATTAGAGTAAATCAGAACATGAACTCTGGAATATCAACATTTTGCTATTTGTATTTTTGTTCGCCAAGCTTGTACCCATTAACAATCTAGACACTTTGCCACGAGGTCCCATTTCTTTATCATAGTAGCCTACATACTGAAGGGGAAAATGTAGATGTCTTTACTCTCTGCTTTACTCAAATACATTTATATAACATATTTAGTTACTTTGATTTTGATATATTACAGTTTACAAAGTACAAGTTTAAATGTATGACTTTTACTTTGACTTTTAGGTACTTTTACACATTAGTATTGCTACTTTTACTTAAGTACAATATCTGAGTACTTTTACTTTTACTCAAGTTCAAGATCTGATTACGTAGTGCAAAAAGTATATCTTATCTTCTCTTAAAATTACTTAATTAAAACCATAGACATAGTATATAAAACCCAGTCTGAGTCAAAGCGGAACCTTTCTTCGCTGAGCCTTATCTCCCGCTCCCCCGGACAGTATTGGGCGCAGGACAGCTTCAGTTGACATTGCTGCTACCGAGAAGAGGTTGTTATTAAACCCGAAGCTTCTTCCCCAGGAGCTGCATCCGCTTTTCAGCTCTGATTCCCCGCAGAGAGAAGAGCCATGTACCGGAGGCCGCTGCTCACCGCCCTCAGAACCTTCTTTATTAACGGGAACAGAGCCTACGGACAGGTAACGAGATAACGTTAGCTTAGCATGCTAACGGGATTTGGTGACAAGTATCACTCCTCTAAACATGATTTACAGGGAAGTCACTAAGTACATTTAGTACTGTACTCAAGTACAATGTTGAGGTACTTGTACTTTACTATCCATTTTATGCTACTGTGTACTTCTACTCCTCTAGTTCAGAGGTACATGGTGTACTTTTACTCGACTACATGTATTATACCATCAGTTGCTTTAATTAATGATGTGAAATATAATCAAGTGTTGAATCAGACTTTAGTTCCACCTGGAGTAAATCCACAAGCTACCCTGCAGTATACAAAGTCATTCAAACTAGCTGCACCTTTACCAGCTTTGAGAACACTTTCATGATCAATCATTATAAAACATATCATATATATTATTCTGAAATGGACCAATCTGCACAATGACTACTTTTACTGTCGCTACTTTCACTATATTTTGATGAGAATACTTTTCTACTTTTACTTGAGGAACATTTTGAATGCAGGACTTTTACTGTAATAGAGTATTCCTACACTCTGGTACTTCTACACACACAGCGCAAGTGGACACACACACACAAAAAACACAAATGGACACACACACACACACAATGGAACACACACAATGACACACACGACACACACCACACACACACACGACAGGAAACAACACACACAATGGACACACACACACACTTGGACACACACGGACACTGGACACACACTACACATCACAATGGACACACACAACACACACACACACCCAACACACATAAAGTCAAAAGGAAACTTTTCTGTAGCTAGAACTAAAAAGCTTGAAAGAAGATACGTCGGGTTCTTATTTGACGCGAACTAAACTGAGTAAGTGAAACATGCACATGGTGTGTGTGTGTGGGTGTGTGTGTGTGTGGTTGTGTGTGTGTGTGTGTGTGTGTGTTGTGTGGTCGTGTTGGTTCGTGTGTGTGTGTGTGTGTGGTGTGGTGGTGTGCGCGTGTGTGTGTTGTGTGTGTGTGCTGTGGGTGTGCTGTGTGTGGCGTGTGTGTGTGTGTGGTGTTGTGTGTGTGTGGTGTGTGTGGCAACCGGAAATCCCCGGTCGACAAACTTACTTGTGCACTGGACAGAGACTCGACGGCGCCACCACAGTCCGTGAAGGACTGTCAGACCCAATAGAAGAATTCTGGGTTGACATTGGAAAGTAGTCCTTGTAGTCTAGTTTGACTGTATAGTGGGCTACAAGACGGTTCTAGATGAACAGGCAATCTAGCTCAGTACAGGCCGACCACGTAACTCGACCACCAGTGTCCAGTCTCGGTAATGAGTGTATAGTGACGTGATCTCGAAAAAATAGGGTTTTGGGTGTGGTGACGCAACGGTCGGCAACACTTTAAGTGTGGTTTGTATAAATAGTTCCCTAAAGAGATTTCTACACAATAGTTCTATTATCACAAGAGTTATGCGAAAGTATGTTGTGTTATATGGACAATATAAATAAATTTTACTAATTAAAAGAAAGACGATATTAAAAGGGAGTCAATCAATAGTATCATTAACAAACGTCCAACAAAATTAGTCAACAACATTTATGTAAAAGTTAGTTTTGTACCACACACGTAACACGACACCACACACACACACACACAACACCACACACACCACACACACACAACACACACACACACCACACAAGACACCCCACGACACGTCCCACGCTGTACTACAAATTTGTCCCTCTCCTTGTGAGACGTCCTCGAATCTCGAGCCTGACTTGTCTTTAAGGGACTTTATTTTTTGTTCTCTCTCTTGTGTGCCACTTTGTCTCTAGATGTTTTGTTGTCGTACGTGATTGGTACTTGAGACCGTCAACAACACAACAAATTTTTGTGTAGCGATTATGTTAAATATTATTCGTTCTCACCCTTCATGAGTCTAGAACATAAACTCATTTTTCATCTTTCATGAGTCTAGAACATGAACTCAATTCATCTTCATGAGACTAGAACATGAACTCATTTTCATCTTCATGAGTCTAGAACATAAACTCATTTTCATCTTATGAGTCTAGAACATGAACTCATGTTTCATCGTCATTGAGTTCTAGAACATGAACTTCATTTCATCTTCATGAGTTCTAGAACAATGAACTCATTTTCAATCTTCATGACTCTAGAACTCATTTCATCCTTCATGAGTCTAGAACATGAACTTCATTTTCATCTTCATGAGTCTAGAACATGACTCATTTTCATCTTCATGATCTAGAACATTAAACTCATTTTCATCTTCATGAGTCTTAGAACAAGAACTCATTTTCATCTTCATCGAGTCTAGAACAAGAACTCATTTTTTCATCTTCATGAGTTCTAGAACATGA